CGGCCCCGCCCCGCGCGCCTTAAAGGGGAGGAGCGCGCCCGGAGGCGGTGTCGGCCCCGCCCAGAGCGCCCGGCCCGGCGGCCTTAAGGCCCCGGCGCCGTTTTCGCCGACGCCCCGCCCACGCTATAGCCTTAAAGGCACAGGGACTCCCGAGGGCTGGGACCTGATTCTCCACCACTTCCAGGCGTCCCGGCCCCCGCCCCCGCCCCCATTCGAGTTCCCTGTGCTGGAGACCCAGCCAGGGAGGACCAAGAATCCATGACTCGCTTTCTCCTCTTTAGGGGGTGTTGAGCCTTAAGCCCTGGCGTCCCAGTCCCTTTTATTTTGGTTTTTAATTTGAGAGAGGGTCTCGCTAAGTCATAAACCTATCCAGGCTGTGCTCGAACTGGTGCCCCTCCTGCCTCAGCCTCCCAGAGTGCAGGAATCACAGCGTGCACCACTCTATCTGGCTGATAGTGTTTATATCGTTCTTAAAATCTACTTTTAGAACGACGTTCGGCTAGATGTATGCCCAGCCTGGGGTCACAGGACACGTACACCCCACCTTCTTCTGGCAGCTCCCGGCCCCCCTCCCACAGTGAGCCCTGCAGGAAGCCAGTGTGGCCGGGTGTTTCTGGAGAAGGACGGGATGGGAGGAAGGGCAAGGCCTGCTTCGGGCTGCAGGCCCCGGCTGCCCCTGGGAGCCCTGGCCGGGGTCTGCGCTGCTGTCCCGGGAATGCTGGTTCCCCAGCCAGCCTCACGGGGTGTCCAGCAGCGCCTGCAGCAGCTCGAGGGCCTCAGACTCCAGGGCCGACAGTGGCTGACTCAGAGGGGCCAGCGGACTTCTTCCCCGGTCACAGAGTGTGGGGAAGGGCCGTGATTGCTCTGAACCAATTACCGGCGGTCGGCTGACAATCCCCAGCGTGCCGGGCGCGGGAGCCTCGCCCCAGGATGGTCACCATCCGCTGAGAGGCAGGAAGGGAAAGGGATAATGAATTACTCCTGTGGCTCTGAGTTTCATTCTGGGTTCTAATGAAAGGCGACGGAGCTGGGTGATCCGGGCGGCCGCAGCCCCAGAGGCTGTGGGCCCCCTGACCCCAGACTTTTGCCTCTTCTGTTTTTCTTATCGCTTACCTTTTCTTATTCGTCCGCGGGCACCTCGGTCTCCGACCGGTCACTACCGATAATACCAACAACCGAGTTAGCACCAGGCCAGGTGGGGAGGCTGTGACAGTGCAGTCTCCTCTTGCAAGCCTGGAGCCACACCCCGGCCTAGCAGCAGGTGCTCACTGCAGGAGTCAGGGCGTTGGCAAAGCCAGAATCTGTTCCGTCTCTTGGGAGGGGCCGAAGAGCCCAGCGCAAAAGAGCAGGAAATTCTCAACCCGCCACCATGAGGGGAAGTCACCCCGGAAGCAGCTGCAGGGGCTGAGACAGGGGACAGGTGGCTGGGGCTTCTCTTTGGGCTCCAAACTTTGTCCTGGGTCAGAGCACTCGCCTGGCACCAAAAAGAGAGAGTACCCAGCCCAGCACCCAAAGAAAGGAGATTCTGGAGCATAAGCGACTTAGAAAAAGCCTGTAACACAGACCACTCCTATCCTTAACGTGTAAAGCGTTGATAGTTATCAATGAGAAAAGATTAACGCTCCTTCCGGGAAGAGCAGGTAACAGCCACGGACGTTCACTAAAAAATCCGCAAATCACAAAGCAATGGCCAGGAATGACCCTTGCAGTTCAGTTTAATCATCAATTCAAAATGAAAGCAACGCAACGGCCCCGCACAGAGCCGCGGGATCGGTGCTGCGCTCCCAGGGTTCCCACCCCGGGAAGAGCACACAGCAGGGCCAGCCCGCAGCGAGGGCAACGCCGGTGTGCGCGACCGAGGAGGTCCCTTGATGGGGCGGGGTGCCGTGGCTGCATCCGGTGCCAGCTCAGACCCCAGCCTCAGTTTCCCCGTCTGTAAAGGGCACCGAAACCTCAGACTTGGCATCGAGCAGCACAGAGCAAAGGCTCGGTCCGCGGGGACCTAGCAGCATCGGCTTCACAGGAATGCGTGAGCGTCTGGAGAGAGATGACCGGTCACAGGGTCTCAGAAGAGGCGCTGGACACACTGGCTCAGCTGCCCACACAGCCGGGCCCAGGTGGGACCGGGGCCGCAGGCAGCCGTTTCCCCAGCTTTCGTTCTCTCCACAGCCCTGGGTTCCAGGCCTCCCCGCTGCGCTGCACCGCCCCCTTCTGCTCAGGCTGCCCTTCACATGGAGCCCCTCCTGCCTCAGCCTCGTCATGCGAGGTGCGGGCAAGGGCCCAGTCCCCTGGCTTTCCCCAGACACTTCTGAGCTGCGGCTGGCGGAGCCGTGGGTGTGGACCTCCATCTGGAGGCCACCGAGCCGGAGGGGCCGGGGCGTAGCTGAGTGTGAGAGATCCGGACCCAAACACCCACGGGCTGACGCTGGGTAAATAAACTCGGGGCCGCCGCCAGCCGTCGCTCCCAGACCTGGGCCTCCAGAAGTCTGTCTAAGGCTCCTCTGCCGCACGCATCTCTGCGGCATCCAGCTCAGGAAGAGCCTGGGTCCTCACCTGCTGCCTCCGGGTCCCACGGCAGCTCCGAGTGCCCGGCCAGAGCGCAGGATGCCTCGCTGCCACCCAGGGCCTCCCACAACTCTGAAAGGAGAAGAACCACTGGACACATCTGGGGGTGCCCGGACCTCACAGGCCCCACGCTTTCTCCCACGAGGCCCGGGTGGACGCAGAAGTGATGCCACCCACAGCCCGGCCAGGCTGTGCCCGGGCAGACGTGCCCAGCCAATCCCACACTGCAGGAGCCCACGCTGGCCCACAGACAGCACCAACTGATGACCAATCAGGCATCTTCTAGGAAGCGCGTCCCTGTCCCATGCTGTGTTTCATTCTGCCACCAACAGCTTTTCTGCACTGAAGACTCCTCTGTCCTAAAAGAACTCGGCTATCCTTTCTGGCTGCCCAGGGACCAAAGACGCAGCCTTAAACTCTCTCCCTGGCTCTGGGGACCCCACCACAGCTAGGTCCTCCAGCCTTCTGCATCCCTCTGTCTCCTTTCTCCTTCAAACCCTGGCCCTTTGAGCCCCCTGTCTGGCCCTGACCGCACTCCTGGGCTCTGTGTCCTTGGTGCAGCCCCTGCTGGGGACCTGGCCTGGCCTCCTCCATAGCTTCTGGTCTGGCTGCTCTCACTCTCTCACCTTCCATGGCTCCCTCTGGCCTGTGCAATAAGGTATAAACTTCTTTGCCTGTGGCTCCAGGCTCCACATTGCAGTCGTGAAGATACTGTGACACCCCTGAACTGCCACTGCCTGCTGTCACCCCCATCTCCAGGAACACGTGTTTCTCAGTGGCCATGGCTTCATGAGTGAATTGATGACATGGAAAGAAGGGAAATGCTACAGAGCTGCTTCCCAGCCCTAAGCCCCTGAGGGGTGAACCCCAAATCCATGAACTCTGGGGGGCCTCTGTGCCAGCCAGAGAAAAACTGTAAGTGGTTGTTGAATGAACAAATGTGAAACTCTGTGCCTAGTTTTCGAACTGTCCCTCTTCACACCCCGAGGACTCCTATACAACCCTCAGAGCCTCACTGCAACGCCCCTCCTTAGGGCACTCCATTGCTGACTGACTACCCCAACCCTCTGTCCGGGTCCTGATCCCGGTCTAAAGGGCAGGCGGTAGGCTCACCTCGGTCGATCCTCTGCAGCAGGACCCCGCGGACCACGTCCTCCAGGATGCCCGCAGTGGTCAGGGCCTGGCTGTCTGTGACAAGCTCGTCCCCTTCAAGCTCGGGCAGCTCCTGGAACACGAGGGGGAGCAAGGGGCCAGGCTGGCTGCAGAGCCTCAACCGGCCAGGCATGGACTCGGTCTCAGCGACCCCCAGTGGCTGTGTGAACCCGACTCTGCGCTGCCGCGTGCGGAAACTGTGTGAACCAGAGGTGAGGGCTCCGTGTGCCCACAGCGCACGTGCTAGAACCGAAGCCCACATGCAGGCCCCCTAAGACACGATTCCACTGGGCCACCCAGCACTGGGAAGGCTGAGGCAGGAGGATCCTGTAGGTTAAAGGCAGGCCTGGGCCACACAGTGAGTTCAAGCCCACCCTGAACTACGGGGAGAAAGCCTGTCTCAAAAACAAAACAAAAAGGAGGTGATTCTGTCCCAAGGGTCCTGCACTAGACAACGGGTTGCCGTTGCTGTCACGGAGTGGCCCAAGCTCTGTCGCCCGGCCCGCAGTGCCCTCCGGGACGGCGCCTGCCCCGTGTCCCGTCCCGGCGCCCCTCCCGGCCGCTCACCGCTCGGCCGCTGGGCTCCAGCCGGCGCAGCACGAAGGGCAGGAGGACGCGCAGCAGCCAGCTCCGCACGAACTCGCTCCGCGCCGCCGCGCCATCCGCCGACAGCTTCTGCAGGACACGGGCGGTCCATGTCCCGCGCCCCGCTGACCCCGGGTCCTGCGCCCCGCCCGCCCCTCACCTTCAGCACGCGCCCCCGGGCTTTCTCCAGCTGCTGGGCCGCCTGGTCGCGGTCGAGGGCAGCGGTGAGCCCCTGGTCGGCCAGCTGCAGGAAGGTGGCCACAGCGTCGGCCGTGAGCTGTGGAGGGCACTGAAGTGACCACGCTGTGGCCCGGGCCTGTGCAGCTCCCTCCACTCCCACCCCCAGGGCCAGGGAGCCGAGATTCAGGACTGCAACGCCATGCAGGCTTGGTCTCCACAGAGCGGCGCTCTTGTGCAGTGTACACACTGAACCACCGTGCGAGGCGGCACTGGGAAGTCACATCTGCCCCTGCGCCCTGTCCTTGGCCTTCTGAGAACTTTTTCTTTCTCCCTCCTGAGTGCCCAGCCTCCTCTCCTCCGCTCCGCCTCATCCACACCCGAGCCTGGTCGGTCCCTCCCCGTCCTCTCGCCCCTCTGCCCCGCACCCTCTCCAAACGCCTCTGGCCCTGCACACGCCGAGCAGCTTCCTGGGGCTCTCTCCCTCCGCCCCTCTCCCCTCTGCCGCCCCACCAGGCAAGCCCCTGAGGGTCCCGCGGCACCTTCGGTGCCCACGGAGCCCTGCGCGCCGCGTGGGGGCGCTGCCCAGCCACGGACCCTGCCGCAGGAGACGCGGGACCATGCCCCGCCCCCGTCCTCACCTGCTGGGCAAGGTCCTGCGCCCCGAACACCAGGTTCTGTGTCCCCAGGAAGCCGAACGGAGCCGCCAGCTTCGCCAGGCGCGCCCGGCCGCGCTCAGCCTCGCCGTAGCAGAGGTGCATGAGCTCGGGGTCCCAGGGCAGCTCCCCCAGCGAGTGCACCTGGCCGCGGGCCGGGAGACGCCGTCAGCGACAGCGGGGCCATCGCAGAGGGGCGGGCGCCGGGAGGGCGGCGCGGCAGACTGCTGAAACGCCGCCCTTGCGGCAGAGCTGGGCTTCGAACCCAGAGCCCGCAGCAAGCTGCGTCCCGGCCCAGGCAGCCACCCGGGGCTCCAGCCCCGGCCCGCCCCGCCCAGGCCGCGCCCCCTCGCTCACCGCCCCTCGCAGCCGCTCGCCTCTCGGGCTCGCACGCAGGCGGCCGCACACGCGGTCCACGCCCCGCGCCAGGAGGGCCCGCACGGCGCCCAGCGTGGCCTCCACAGTGCTCAGCAGCGTCCGCGCGAGCTGGGGCAGCTGCGGGTCCACGTGCCGTTGCAGGCAGGTCTCCAGCCGGGCCTGGACATCCGCTGCGGGCGGAGACGTGGCTGGGTGCGCGGCTCCGCGGGAGCAGGCGAGCGCGCGCCCAGCACCCGGGCCGCCCAGCTGCCCAGATGCGAAACAGTTGGCTGCGAACGAGCGGCCCGACAGGCCAGGGAGGCAGGTGTATTCCAACCGCGTCTGGCTGCGGAGTGGAGTGGGAGCCACTTTGCTCTGCCGGTCTCGCCTGAGATCTTCCTGGCTCAGCCAGCTCGCCCTCCCACGCTGGCCACCTGCAGCGTCCGGCTCCCGCGGTCCACCCGGCTGGCCTCGCCCTTTGGAGCCCAAGGCCACGCCCGCTCGCCGGTTAGGCCCCGCCCTTCGTCCTGCACCGCCCAACCAGGGCCTTGTATTGCAGACTGTAGGCCCCGCCCCTACACACACTTCCTTCAAGCCGCCGGGCCCCGCCCTCCCACCCAAACCGAGCCTTCTGCCCTGACCCACCTATTCCTGCCAAAGACCACGCCCACCTCTGACCACGCCCCTATCAGGCCACGCCCACTCACCATTTAGGTCCCTGTGTGACCCCACACCTCTTTGCCTTCAAGGTCCCTTCCACAATATGGAACTGAAGACTCAAGGCCCCGCCCCTACCATCCTCCGCCTTCTTTCCAAGTCCTTTAGCCACATCCCCCCCTACCTGACCATACAACTTTATACCTACCCCGGCCCCACCCATCCAAACAAGACCACGCCCCTCCATCCAACCACAGTTTCCAGACCCTCTCCGCCTTGACGCACCCCTGCCGACCCTATCACACCCCCTATACCCCCTCCCCTAGCCTCACCTCTTCCCTACCACACCGCACCTTCTGGCCCCACACTCCCGCCCAGACCACGCCCCCGCTATTCTGACTCCGCCCCAGATGACAGCCCCGCCCCTGTGGTTACCACGCCCCTTTCCGGCCAGGCCCCGCCCCCGGGGTCCGGTCCCTCCCTGTGGCGGCCCAGCCGCTCACCCCGAAGCCGACCCGCCGCGCGCGTGCGCAGCCGCAGCGTGTGCTCCAGGTCGGGGCGCAGCGTCCGCTCCAGCGCGGCCAGCAGCTCGTCTTTCTCCGGCTGGAAGGCGCGGAGCCCCGCGGAGGCGGCGGCCAGGACCACGCAGTAGACGGCGTCCCGGAGCTGCGGCAGCGGGCATGGAGGGAGCGTGAGGGCGCGGAGGAGGGCGCGGAGGGCGGGGCGGGGCGGGGCCTACCTCGGTTTCGCGCCCACTTGTCCTCCG